TACAACACACAAAAAGCACGCACCACACGAAGCATACATCACACACACACACACACACACACACACACACACGCACAACACTCACAATCCTGGGGCCTCCTGGAGCCTCTTCTGGTATCCAAGTCGGGCCTCCTAAGGCTTCCTGGGGGCCCTGGTACACACATCGCAAGGTGTGGCAACCCCACTTGCGCTCGAGTGCGACTTCGATGTTGCATTTCACTCCTGCTTCAAACGCCCCTTCAGTTTTTTGTATGAGCCTGGGCACACACGTGCCACCTATATATATATATATATATATATATATATATATATATATACATATACATATATATACATACATACATACATACATACATACATACATACATACATACATACATACATACATACATACATACATACATATGTACACACACAGACCTCTTTTCCTCCTCGGAACCTGGGCGCTCTCGCCGTACCTCCCCAGGGGGAGCCGGAGCCTCTCCATCCACTCCCGGAGCCCCTCGTGGTGGGCTTGTGTTCCACCGCCACCACCACAAGCAGGAGGGGGAGGTGGTCCTCATCCTCCTCCTTCTTCTCCTCCTCCTCCTCCTCCTCCTCCTCCTCCTCCTCCAGACCTCCTCTTCCTCCTCCTCCCGCGGCGGACGCGCGTTCGCCCAGGCCGCCCAGAGCACTGTGATCGGGGGCCGGCAGACTCCGCTCCCCCAGGGGTGGCCCTCCTCCTCCTCCTCCTCCTCCTCCTCCTCCTCTCCTTCCTCCTCCTCCTCCTCCTCCTTCCTCCTCCTCCTCCTCCTCCTCCTCGTCCTCCTCCTCCTCCTCCACCTCCTTCCCCCTCCAACTTATGGTGGTGGTGGTGAAGGTGGAAAACAAGCCTATCACCTCGACCTCCGCGGAAGGCGGAGCCTCGGCCCCAGCCGCGGAGTCGCCGGCGCCCGCGCCGCCGGCACCCGCGCCCTCGCCCTCTCGGCGCAGCCTCGCGAGCAGCCGCTGGCACACCTCCCGCGCGGCCTCGTCGTCAGAGGCGGCCGAGGCGTGCGAGAGCAGGAACGGGGACCACGCCTCGGCCACGTCGTCCTCGGAGGCCTGCGCCCAGTCTGGCACCGCGTCCTCCACAGGTGGAATAAAACGTCGATTTCTTGGCTCCGCGCCAGGCCTCCCCTCCCTGGCGCGCGGAGCGCGCCGGGGGGCGGCGCCGGAGGCGCCGCCAGGAGGGCACAGCGCGGATCCAAGACTCCAAAAGAACCGCGCGCAGCGCCAAAAGTTTCTGTTTATGGCGTTTTTCTTTTTCTCTTATCGGTAGCAGACAAAGAACGGTACAGAATATTAGGTTCGTGTCGAGCCGACGCGCTTGTGACCTCGCCGCGGGCGTTCAGGACTGAACGCTGCCTGTGATCCAGAGCCGGCCACTGGAACGGCCTGGCGATCGAGAAGCCGCTTATCATTCAGGGTGGAAGTGCCCCCGCGGTGTCAGAGATCCACGCGTTGTGTCTTCCTCCTTCTTCTTCTTCTTATTATTATTAGTATTATTATTATTGGTGTTATTAGTGTTATTATTGTTATTATTGTTATTCGTGTTATTATTGGTATTATTGTTGTTGTTATTATTATTGTTATTATTATTATTATTATTATTTTTATTAGTATTACTATTACTATTATAATTAATAGTAATAATATTAATGTTATTATTGTTATTAGTATCATTATTATCATTCGTATTATTATAAGTTATATTATCATTATTATTATTATTTTTTATTTTTATTATTATTATTAGTATTATTATTCGATCCTCGAGGTACTGCACGACCTCATCGTCGAAGGTGGTGCCAGGCAGCTCCTGCTCGAGGGCTCGCCGCAGCTGGTCGATCCTCTGGACCATGCCGCAGGCTGGCGCCGCCCAGGAGCGCCCAGGGCCCCCCCTCCGCGAGCAGCGCTCACGCTCGCGCCTCGGCCACCATAGGCAACGGATGCGCGCGCGGGCTGGGAGAAGCCCTCCACGCCGGCAGCGGCGGAAAAGGGGCGGAGGTGGGAAAGATGAGGGCTTTGGGACCAGGCGTGGGCCTCCTGCCTCTGCTGCCTCCACCTCCTCCTCCTCCTCCTCCTCCTCCTCTTCCTCCTTTTCGTTCGAGCCCAGTCTTTAGATTGTGAATCACGGGCGTCTCCGCTCGTCTGGGACTGACTGCGCATCGACGCGCAGCGCCGTCGGTGGCGTACAGGGGCGCCGAAGAGCGCTCGAATGGCGCCAAAGAAACGCCCAACAGCACGCACCCGCCAGCATTAAGTCGGGCCTGTCCCCACATACAGGGGGATTTTCGACGAAAAATCAAAAATACGCTAAACATAATCGAAACTGGTCAAACAATGCCCCAACTGGTCAAACAATACCCCAAAAAACAAACAACATCCCCATACTATTTTTACTACCTTTAAGTATTCCCCCATGTAGAGGGACAGGCCCGACTTAACGCCAGCACCGCGTGGGGGAGACGCATTGATGTCAGACTTGCGCGCGACTGGGCGCCCCGCTGGGCGCCCTGGGGGCGGCCAAGAAGACTTCCCGCGAGCTGATCGCTGACCCTCCCTGCCCTCGCGCCCCCGCCCCTCGTGCTCCCGCTCCTCGGGTTCCTCCCGCTCCTCCTCTTCCTGCCCTCCTCCTGCCCCTCCTCCTCCTCCTCCTCCTCCCCCTCCTCCTCCTCCTCCTCCTCCTCCTATTATTCTTATTATTATTATTCTTCTTATCATTATTATTATTCTTATCATTATCATTCGTATTGTTATTCTTCTTCTTATTATTATTATTGATATTATTAGTATTATTATTATTCTGCCTATTATTATTATTATTATTATTATGATTCGTCTTCTTCTTCTGCATCGTATTCTTCTTATTTTTCTTCTTGTGATTATTCTTCTTCCTCCTCCTCCTCCTCCTCCTCTTCCCCCTCCTCCTCCTCCTCCTCGTCCTCCTCCTCCTCCTCCTCCTCCTGCTCTCCTCCTCCTGCCCTCCTCCTCCTCCTCTTCCTCCTCCTGCTGCTGCTGCTGCTGCTCCTCCTATTCCTTCTCCTCCTCCTCTTCCGACATGGTGCGTGGGGAGCCAATGGCACCCCAGTCGGAACAGCTGGCACGGCATACTGAGGAGCACAACTCCCCAGCCCTGGGTGGGCACAAGGCCCCTTGGGACTCACGTGGCACAAACCACCGCCTCCCGAGGAAATGCCGATCCCTGAGGGTCAGATCACAATGAAATGACCGCACAGGCGCCGCTACCCGCCTTCACCAGCAGGGCCAGGCTGAGACTGGGGCCGTGCTACACCCAACGACGGGAGACCCGTCGATACAGGTTTCGCAACGTCCACCCCAAACCCCAGAGCCCGCAGTTCCAGAAAAACCGGATGGTTGCACCCCGCCCAACCTGCGAAATAAGTGCCGTGTACAGTGTGCCCCGAGGGCGTGCACGGCACTGACACCATGAAAACAGGTGCCAGGCCTCACCGGAAGGGGTCGGCGCGCAGCCGAGCGCAAGGAGGTCGATGTCCGCGCTGGCTTGATCAGTGGACGATCCGCTCCGCTCGCCATCGCTCGGACGTCCGTTCCCCGTGTTTTTTGTGGTCCGGTTTCGCGAGTGCACCTTTCCGTAAGATGAGCATATCTGATCTTCGATGGCCTTCGCCGAAACATGGACATGTCCTGATGAGCCTGTGTTCCACCACCACCACCACCACCATAAGTGGAAAGAGGGGAGGAGGTGGAGGCTGAGGAGAAGCAAGAAGAGGAGGAGGACCCCCTCCCCCTCCGACTTATGGTGGTGGCGGTGGCGGTAGAAAACAGGCCCACCACGTCCGAGCGGTGCCAGCGCCAGCGCGGCAGCAGTCCCTGCTCCCGCTCCTCTGTCGGGGGCGCGCAAACATGGATTAGCGATCCATGGATTTGGCGCGCGGCCGCCAAATCCATGGATCGGGGGAGGTCCCCTCACCTAAATGCGGCCGGCCGGTGCCGCCTCGTTCGGCGGCGGAAGTCCGCGATTGTCCGGGGAAACGGGACCCGTCGCTAATCCACGCCCCCTTGATCCATGTTTGCGATGGCGTGACTCTGCTCCTCCGCCGCCCCCCTCCGCTCCTCCCGCTCCCCCCTCCGCCCCGCCCGCCCCTCGACGCTCCCAGCGCGGGGGCCGACAGGTCTGACTCCGCCCGAGTGATGGGCCTGTTTTCCAACACCACCACCATAAGTTGGAGGGGGAGGGGGTCTTCCTCTTCCTCCTCCTCCTCCTCCTCCTCCTCCTCTTCCTCGTCCTCCACCTCCCTTCCTCCTCAGGAAACGTTTAACATTCAAACGCGCTTAAAACAAAAACGGACAACACAACGGAGCAGCAGCGAAAACGAACACGAAAAACAAAACGACGGCAAAAACCAAGCTAAACAGCGTTGTGATGGGCCCTTGATTTTCTTCAGATTCAAGCAAGTTTACTTGCATGGCGTTTTGCCCCTCTTTGACCGAATTCGAGCGTGCAAGTGTCTTTCGACTTGCGCGACTTTAGCTCGCCAAGTCGTTTGCGGCCTGCTTCAGGTTCAGCCCCCTCCCCCCCTGTCCACGCAAGCAAACTTGCCAGAATCTACAAAACAGGCCCCCCCTGGGTGCGTGGTCGGAAGTCTGGGGGACCCAGAGACCCCGCGGAGTCATGACAAAAATCCCGACGCGGAAGGTTTTGCGCCATGTTCGGCCTTTTGGGAGCCCTCGGAAAAACCAGTCCTAGGGAACGGGCAAAAGTCTCAGGGGGGTCGACGTCATGATAAAATCATGACGTCGGGGGTCCGGGAATGCATGATCCCGGGTCAATGCCAGCCCGGGCCAGTCAGGCTCGGCAAGATCCTGCAGGACCCTGCAAGATCCTGCGCGCAAGTCCGGGTCAATGCACCCCTGGCTTTGCAGGATCCTGCAAGACCCGGCGCCCTGGCTGACCCCCGTCTGCAAGGACCCCCGTCTCTTGAGCCCCGAGAAATGGGATGCCGTGGCCCCGATTATGCTTGTTTGTTTTGGCTGAACTCTCATGACATTATTATGGTGGGCCCCGCCCCGAGTGCCCAAATGTCTTTTCAATCAGAAGTGCCCCTCCTGAGGCTCGCAACGCGTCGTTTTCAGAGGCAAGCCTTGCGCCTCAGACTCGCTCGATGCCCCCCAGTCTGAAACCACAGCGGCTCCCGCCAGCGTCGTCCTCACACTTCATTGGTAAATTGGGCTTTCGCTTGAGAACTCCTTGAAATGTACTCCAGATTTTAAAGGGAGGGGGGGTCTCATTTCGGGGGGGGGGTCTCTTCCAGGCTATCTTGGAGGGCCTGGGTGATCTGGGGACGATGTTTTGGACCACGGGGGAGGTCTGAAATGGCTTGTCTTGGAGGGTCCAGACCCCCTCCCTTGTATTACGAAATCTGGAGTATCCAGGAAGAGCGCCCTCGCTTGAGACTTCACCACAGCTAATTCACGCGTCGCTCTCCTGTGGCTCTGGGATCGCACTCCTGCCCAGGACTTCCTCATCATTCACTCGGGAGCCGCGCTCTCGCCGGAGGCTTCCTTGCTACACCCTCTTCTGAATCCCTCTTGCTAACCCCTCTCGTCCTCCATACCATTCCTCATTCCCTACTGTTCCTTCCTCCTCCCTCTTCCTCCAATTCCTCCCTCCAGTTCCATACTATTCCGCTCCCTCTCCCTCCAGTTCCTTCCTCCTCCCTCTTTCCCTTGTCCGTTCTGTATGTTCTTCCTGTTATAAGGGCTGCGCAACTTACACGTGGCAGGGAAGCAAGCTATGCCCTCCCAGAGGAAGCACGACCAAAGACGAAGAGAGCGGGCATCGAGGGCTTGGGAAATACATATTACATGACACGCGAGCGTATGTTAATGAACAATACTATAATGATGGCTGTTGCTGGGCTCCCGCTTCTAAAGAAAAGATAGTTGATCCACCCATGCGTTCGCTAGAGACTTCCTTGCAGTGTATCCAGGAATCGCGCTCTCGCTTGAGACTTTCCGACAATGGCACTCTAGTGCCCTCGCTTGGGAGTTCCTAATCGTTGACCCAGGCAGCGCGCTCTCGCCTGAGACTTCCTCACCATCCCCTCTTCTTGACCCCCCTTGCTAACCCATCTCGCCATACCTCCTGACACCTTCCCTCCCACTTCCTCCAGTCCCCTCCTCATTCCTCTCTCTCTCTCTCTCTCTCTTGTTCCTTCATTCGGTTCTTCCTGGTTCAAGGGCTGCGCCACTCTACGTCGCAGGGAAGCAAGATGCCCCCCCCCCCCAAAGGAAGCACGATCAAATGCGAAGATGGCAGGTATCGAGGGCTTGGGGGAGCATGCAGGACACGCGAGCATCTGAGAGCGAACAGTCTTAAACTGATTGATCTTGTTGTTGAGTTCTCATATCGAATCGTTATTTCTAACCGCCCCGCCTGTTCCCCTTGTGTTCCTATTGGAGTGCCTCTCCCGGGGCTCGCACCCAGTTTGTTCCAAGAGGCAGCCTTGACCCTCAAACTGCGCCCCGAAACCCGGAACTGCCACAACAACGGCTCCCGCCTTGAACTTCCTTCTAATTCATTCCAAGTCGCGCTCGCGCGCGGGAATTTCTCACACTATATTTGAGGAACGCGATCTCGCGTGGGACGTCCTCTCAATGCATTGAAACGCCGCGCACTCGACACTCAGGAATCAGGCTCCACCTCTGGACTTCCACCTCTGGACTTCCCCACGAGATACTCGGGACTCGCGCTGTCGCTCGAAACTTCTCCGCGATGCATGCGATACGACGCTTCAGCGACCCGCTCTCTCGATCCGGCCCGCCCGACCCGCCCGCTAGGGGCCCGCCCGCCCGACCCGCCCGTCTGGATTCTGCCGCTTGCTTTCCGGCTCCTAACTCCCCTCCTGCTAATCTCTCCGGTACTTCATCCGTGTCTCTCCCCTCCTCCATGACCTCCCCTGTATTAAGGGCTGCACCAAGCACGCGTGGCAGGTAAGGAAAATATGCGCCAAGGGGGATACGATCGAAGACGAAGAGGGCGGGTATCGAGGGTCTGGGATACCCAGACACGCGAGCAGGTGAGAGGGAACAATATTCAACTGATTGTCGACATTGTTTGTGTTTCTTCTTTTTTGAACTCCCACAACTCACGGATCATTATTGCTGATCTTCCCCCTCTGGGTCACCTTTTTTCAACCGACGGGCCCCTCTTGGGGCTCGGAGAGCCTCGAGACACTGACTGCGCCAAGAGTCCCCGCACTGCTACAACAACGACTCCCGCCTTGTGCTTCCTTGCAGCTCGTTCAAGGTCGATCAAAATTGCACTCGCGCGCGGGAGTTGCTCACAATATATGGTCGCGGGCTCAGGGTCCTCGGCCCCCCCCCCCCCGCCAGGATGGGATGGGGGGGGGGAGAGGCGAAGGAGGAGGAGGAGGAGGAGAAGGAGGAGGAGGACGACGACGGCAATCACGACGACGACGACGACAACGACGACGACGACGACGACGACGACGACGACGACACCGACAACAACAATGACGACAACGACGACGACGAAAACGACGACGACGTCGACGGCACCACCAGCGGCGGCGGCGACGACGTCGAGCACTGGAGCTGTCAACATGACGCCAATCCCAGCCACACGCCGCACCCACACCGCACCCACAGAGGGGGAGGGAGGGGGGGAGGAGGACCATTGCGTCACCGCGCACACATCCACAGCAACACACTACTCCCACACCACATCCTCAGGGGGGGGGGGGAGCCACCACGCCACGCCCACGCCCACAGGGGGGGGGTCACCCCCAGGGGGGGGGGGGGGGGGCGATGGCGTTAGCATTGGGGAGGGGGGGGGCCCAAACCCTCGACCATGTATCCAGGAATCGCGCTCTCGCGTGGGACGTCCTGAAAATTAATGGAAGCCCCGCGCCCTCGACACTCAGGAATCACCCTCTCTCTTTGGACTTCCCAGCGATTTTTTGGCGAATCGCGCTATCGCTCGAGACCTCTTCGCGATCACTACAGGAATGAAGCTTCAACGACCCGCTCGCTCGACCCTGCCGTCTGGGCCCGCCCGCCCAGCCCATCAGGGCCCGCCCGCCCGACCCGCCCGTCTGGGTTCTGCCGCTTGTTTTTCGGCTCCTTACCCCCTCCTGCTTATCTATCTCGTCATCCCTTCCCTCCTCCCTTCCTCCTCCCTTCCTCCTCCCTTCCTTCCCTTCCCTCTGTCCAGGGGTCCCTCCCTTTCCTCCTCCCTTCCCTCCTCCCTTCCTTCCCTTCCTCCTCCCTTCGATCTCGTCATCCCCCTTGGTCCCTTCCCTCCTCCCTTCCTTCCCCTGGTCCAGGGGCTGTGCCAACTTACCCGTGGCGGGTGAGGGAAGATCTACCCCCTAAGGGGGGTACGACCGAAGACGAAGAAGGCGGGCATCGAAGGTTCAAGACGCACATGTTGAGTGATACGCGAGCAGATAGGAACGAACGATCTTACAATTATGGTTGTTGTCGTCGTCCCTCCCGCGACACACCCGCGACTGACCCCGCGACCTACCCCGCGACCACAAACCGCGACCCACCCACAACCCACCCCGTTCCCCCGTTCCCGCCCCTTCCCTCTTACCCTCAACTGAGGGGTGCTACTTGCGTATGTACGTATACACATCTGGGGAGGTAGAGAGAAAAAGTGTGAGAGAGAGGCAGGAACAGGCAGACATAGAAGAATAACCTAACCATAAACTTTTGGATTTGCGCTGCACCCCCCTCGCTGGTGCGCGGAGCGCGCCAGGGGCGGCGCCGGAGGCGCCGCCAGGGGGGGCCCAGCGCGGATCCAAGAAATCCGCGCGGAGCGCCAAAAGTGTACGTTTATCCTGTGTTTTCCTCTTCTTCTTGAGAGAGAGAGAGAGAGAGAGAGAGGAAACCGAACAAGAGAGCGAGAGAGAGAGAGAGAGACAAACAGACAGACAGACAGACAGACAGACAGACAGACAGACAGACAGACAGACAGACAGACAGACAGACAGACAGACAGACAGAGATGAAAGAACGCGGAGCCTCCTGCTGCTCCTCTTTCCGGGGGGGCATTGGGCCACACTTCCCGACGGGCTCCCCCCAAGGAGCGGGAGAGAGAGCGGGCTGGCTGGCGGTGCTCGCCCCGCGGCCCCGCCACCGCACGCCCGCGCCGCCCGCGCCACGTGCTGCCCCCCCCCCCCGTGCCCACTGCAGCGGGGGCCCGACCACAAGAAGCCCAGGACGCCTGCCGATTTCGGGTGTGGGAGCGTCACGCCCCCCATGGCAGGACCATCGAGGCCCAGGAAACCCAACGCCGAGACCACGAGAAGCCCAACCCTGTGAGGGGCCCCAGGACGTCCCCCGACTTTTCTCGTGTGGGAGCGGCGCGCGTTCTCCCTGGCAGAGCCACCGCGAGACCCCGGACACCCCAGCGGCATCCTGGAGGCAAGCGCAGGGTGCTTCTTGTGACGCGGGCCTCCTCCTCCTCCTCCTCCCCCTCCTCCTCCTCCTCCTCCTCCTCCTCCTCCTCCTCCTCCTCCTCCTCCTCCTCCTCCTCCCTCTCCTCCTCCTCCTCCTCGCGGGCGCGTCCTTGTCCCCCTCCTGCGTCGCGACCCAGCCCTCTGCCGGCCCGGCGCCGCGGCGGAGCCGGTACCTGCGCGCCCAGGGGGGGGGGCCCGGGCAGCGCAGGAGACGGGCAGCCTCCTATAGGGCGAGGCGGCGGCGGCTCCGCGGCTGGCCTCTCCGCAGGCTCGCGCGCGCTCGCGGCGCCGGGGCAGCCGCCAGGCACGCGCGCGGGGGACCCTGCGGGGGACCCTGCGGGGCACGCGCGCGCAGGACCCCGCCGTCATCGCCAGGAGGCCAGAACCAATGGTTCTAGCATCTGCAGAGCGCCCGGCGCACGAGCAAGAGGGGTCGGATGAATGGAACCGTTGGTGGAGCACGTCGCCAGGTGTGGAGGCTCGGACCAGGAGGGAGGGGAAATGCCTGGAGTCTGGAGTGGGCAGAGCCACGCGTGGAGAGGGGCAAGGGGGGAACAACCCCCTTGCCCCTGGGGTGTATCCGAATAGCCTCCCTGGGGTGTATCCCAGGGTTTCCCACGTTTTCTGAGCGGCCAAACTTTTCGGGCGGAACTCGGGGATTGTGGGAGAACAGTCCCCTGCAAACGAAAATGCCGCTGTTGGGGGTCTCTTCCCGACGCGCTCGTTGGTAGCCCCGCGGCCCCCGCAGGACACCGACCCTGGAGAAACCGCATGGATGCTCCCCTGCACATAGACGCAGACACAGACACAGACACAGACACAGACAGAGATACAGACACAGACACAAACACACACTTACTTTTACTCATCCGGCAATGTGCGTGCAACACGACCGCGTCCGTTGAATGCGCCGGGAGACGCTACATTGATTGCGTCCGCGCGCATGACGACATCGCTCGAGCCCAAGCGTAAGATCCTGGGTGAAGGGCGAACAGGACGAGCAGAAGGGAAAAACGATGCGGAAAAGCAGAACCGCGCGAAATATTTCAGATGGAACCATCCTCGCCGAGCCCGAACAAACCGGAACCCTGGCAAGATCAGTCAGCACCGAGTAAGGAAATCGGACCGAACCGAAATGTGCGTCGGATCGGGCTGCATCGGCAAGGAGTCGTTTTCGAATCGGAACGGCTGCACCACGATGCACAACAGCGCCATGCAACTGCTGGAAGTATCAGAATCGAATCGAGACGGGGCGATCAAAAACGAGTCACCAAATTGGATCGATCGGACCGAAGTGAACCCTGCCCTGGAGTTTCCTGGACAGAGCCGGCCCCGCTGTGGTCGAACCGGCAGGGGGCGCCCGGTGCGCCACCTTCGCACCGTGCCCTGTGGATAGATGCCCAGCTCCAACAAAAAAACTAAACCATCAAGAGAACCTGGCGACCCAAGCACGTCGACGCAACTATGCTTGCCAACCTCTCGCCCCTCGCGGAACTCTCCTGTGAGCTCGGGCCAATCTGTCGTCCCGGAAACCTCGACGGCTCTGATGGGCTTGTTTTCCACCACCACCACCAGAAGTTGGAGGGGGGAAGGCGGCGGAGGATGATGATGAGGAGGAGGAAGAAGAAGAGGGGGAGGAGGGCCCCCTCCCCCCTCCAACTTATGGTGGTGGTGGTGGTAGAAAACAGGCCCATCAAGCTCGATTCGTGCTTCCGCCTGCGCCACCGCCGTGCTACGTCCGCCGGCCTTCCGCGTCAGCCTTCGGCCTCGGGGCGAGGTGCGCCGAGGCCGTGGCCCTCGCTGGACGCGTGCCGCGTCGTGCCGCTCCCAAGGGCTGGGCGGGGCCGGGGGGGCACGAAGAGGGGCACGGGGCACCCCGCGCCGGCAGGCGACCGAGAGACACGCGAGCGGCTTAGGCGAGGAGGGGGAGGAGGAGGGGGAGGAGGAGGAGGAGGAGGAGGAGGAGGAGGAGGAGGAGGAGGAGGAGGAGGAGGAGGAGGAGGAGGATGGGGGAGGAGGGAGGAGGGAGGGGAAGCCTGAGGTGCGTCCCCTGCATCTCGAGGCCCTTGACCAGGGAGCCCGTGGCGAGGCGCTCTGGGTACTGCGGGCGCCGCTCCCCGGCGCGTGCCGCACTGCACCGTCTCCCTCGTCCCGCCCCCGCTCTCGAGAGGAGGGGGTGCGCCTGCCAGGGGAGGGCGTGGAGCACAGTGGCAAGGGGCAGCGATACCGTCGGACCTACGCCAGAAGAGCACCTTTCAAGAACACGAGACCTCCCGATGGCCACAGGACACGGAGCATCCCAGGGTACCCACCCCAGGATGCACAAGAGCATGCAACAAGCACGGAGAACATGAGGGCACCCTCCCCGAACCGGCCTCGATCTTATGCCTCGGTCCGACTGCAGGGGGATCCTGGCTCAGGGGGGGGGGATGTCGGGCTTGAATCGGCACCACATCGCCAGTCGATCGGCAACAGGCCCCCGACCGAGAGCGAGTGCGAACGTTCCTGGGCGGGGTGGGCCGTCGGCCCCCCTGTAGTGGCGATGAATAGGCGATTGGGGGTCGATGCGCCCCCCGTGAGCCTATCCCCCCCGGGGTCTTGGATAAGAAGTCCAGGGTGTGGAAGCCAATGGATCTCCAATCGTGGGTTTGCCGCGGACACCGTCGCCGCCCTCATCAAGGCTCCCAGGCACATTCCTTGACGAACGCCCCCACCGTAGGTTGGGAGGCAACTCCTCGGAGGTCTTCGTTGGGGAGCATAATGTCGACACCCGCCCCGCCTTACAGCGCCAGTGCGTTCATGCCTTTGGCAGACCAGAGGAATGAATCGAACGGGGCAGGGCTGTTGAGTAAACGCCCAAGGCCGTTTAGTAAACGTCAATTGTCGGGTCCGGGTGGTTCTTCCTCCCTTGAGGGTGGGTCGCGGGGTGGGTCGCGGGTGGGTCGCGGGGTGGGTCGCGGGTGGGTCGCGGGTGGGTCGCGGGGTGGGTCGCGGGTTGAGTCGCGGGTGGGTCGCGGGGTGGGTCGCGGGTAGGGTCGCGGGGTGGGTCGCGGGGTGGGTCGCGGGGCGAGTCGCGCGTGGGTCGCGGATGGAACGACGACAACAAACAGCAGCAACAATAACAGCAACAATAATGTTAAGACTGTTCGCCCTTATATGCTCGAGTGTCCAATAACGCGTATGTCCCAAACCCTCGATACCCGCCCTCTTCGTCTTTGATCGAACCCCTTTTGGGGGGTATACCTTTCTTCCCTGCAGGCCGGGCCCCGGCAAGCGGCGGGGCGGCCGCGGACCGTCGGCCTGGCCAGCGGCAGCGCTGATCGGCGGGGCGGCCGCGGACCGTCGACCCGACCCCAAGAGGGACGGACAGGGGACCGACGACACGACGACGACGACGACGACGACGACGACGACGACGACGACGACGACGTCGAAGACGACGGCGACGACGACGACGGCGACGACGAGCGAAAGCGAGAGCGAGAGAGAATGACAGCAGGGCCACGAAGGGCACGAAGTAGGCCACGAAGGGCGACAGCGGGGACACGAAGGGAATGCGTGTGGGGCCACGAAGAGCGCGAACGAGCGGGGGCCACGAAGTGCAGATAATGTGGGGCCAAAGAAGGCAACTATGGGGCCACTGAGGGTAGCAACTGGGCCACGTAGGACAGTGAGGGGGACACAAATGGCGACAGCGAGGCCACGAAGGGCATGCACATGGGGCCAAAACGGGCGCGACTCCTGGGTGCCTGGGTGTCGGGAGCGCGGCGCTTGGGCAAATTGCCGGAAATTCCAACGCAAGGCCATTCTTCAATAAGTTGCAAGCAAGTCTCCAGCGAGAGCGCGACTCCAGAGCGCCAGGAGAGCGATTCCTGAATAAATTGTACGGAAGTCCCAAGCGAGAGCGCGATCCTGAATAAAATGCGAGGAAGTCTCGGGCGGGAGCGGGGGTCCTGGCTAAATTGTAAGGAAGTCTCGGGCGGGAGCCGTTGTTGTTGTAACCCGGGGGCCAGGGGCCCAGTTTGAACATCCTTTCCATGCCAAAAAACAAGGTGCGAGCGTCGAGGGGCACACTTTGATGAAGAAAAAACAGTATGCACCGGTGGAGGGGAATCAACAAGAATTATTCTTCAAAAATGAAGATTCAACAGCAACAACGACAGCGCGAAAAGCAGAATTCTCACCATGAGTTCCTTATCTAACCACGCACCCAGGGACAATGAATGACCGTTCGGCCCCCTCTCTCTGAGGTATATATATATACACACTATATATATATGTAGCACCGCAAATGTTGCAACACATAGGCTGCGCCACATACTTGCTCCACACATGCTGCACACGATATGCTGCACAACATGTGTTGCACAACATCTGTTGCACAACATATGCTGCACCACCTGGGTTGCAACGCACAGATGGGTCCACCCAGATTGTACAATATATACGGCTAGAGTCACACTGTTTGGGTTCCACACTGGTTAGTCTACATGCTGTACATGTATGTCTATATATATATGTATGTATCTGTGTACACACACCTGGGGTTGCTGATTGTGCGCCGCCCACGTTGCCTGGCTCCAAGGAGCGACGTCTTAGAGCGCTAGGTAGCCGCGGGCCTTAGCTGCATGCATCCGTGCGCGTGTGCGCACGTGCGCCCGTGTAGCATCAGCGCGAAAGCGACCGAGTCTCCTCTGCTGAAGGGAATGCTACGTTACTATTTCCGTAATTATTTCCCCTCCCTTCCCCGCCCCCAGCCTCCCTCGTCCATCCTACACTGTCTTCCCGATGGTATTCTCCCAGCCTCCTAGCCTCCGTCCTGATCCGTTCCCCCCCTCAGACGAAGCCAGGACCATGATACGATCGGACCGCGACTCATGTGTGCATCCATGAGGCATGACGGCCTTCGAGGATGTATCGGGCGCCGCGGCCGTTCCAGAGCGCTCCGGGACGCTCTGGAGCGATTTACCTTGGCTCCCTCCCCTAATCGTGCCCTCCCTTCCCTGGGTGCTCACGCGTGCCCCCTGGGGCAGAATCGGGTAGCCACGGCAGGTCTATGTCACATGACGACTTCGGCGCTGGCTCCCGACACCGCGTGCACCGTTCCACCTTCCGCGATCGGCGCCTCTCGGATCGCCACACAGCTCCCCATTGGCCGAGCCTGGGCCACTGGCGGCGCTCCGCCTCGAACGCCGGCGGCGGGGGCACCGCCGGGCCGGCACGCCGCGCATACCCTCCTCCTCCTCCTCCTCCTCCTCCTCCTCCTCCTCCTCCTCCTCCTCCTCCTCCTCCTCCCTCCTCCTCCTCTCCTCCTCCTCCTCCTCCTCCTCCTCCTCCTCCTGCGCCACCGGCGCGCTTTGGCCCGAGACTGCCGCGCGCGTGGCTCGGGTGCCCGCGCGGGGCGCGCGGGGGCCGTCTCCTGGGCGGCGTCCGCGGAGGGCCCGCGGCGGACCGCGAGCCCCTCCGAGCCTCGGCCGCCGACGACCTCCCAGATCTGGCCGGCCATGGGCGGCACGCGGGCGCCGCCCTTGCAGCGCGCAGGGGGCGACCTCGAGGGGTGGCGGGCGCGTCCGCCGGTGACGCTGAATCTTCGGGGGGCCGGCGCCTGCCTGGCAGTGTGCCGTCATGGCTTCTGATAGTTCACGCGACGCGGGCTCGGCGCGCGACTCCGGCGCACGGCTTCGGCTGCGGACTCGGCGCGGACCTGGCGCGGGTTCGACGTGGCCTCGACGCGGAGTCGACGCGGCCGGCGCCACGACGGGACACCCCCGAAGATGCAACACGCTGGGGGGGGAGGCGGGCGGGGCGGATGGCGGGCGGGACGCATCCATGGCCGGGGTCTTCCCTGAAGATCGGGCCCTCGCAGGTTCTTCACGACGGGCGCTCTCGCTCGGCTTCGCGCCCCAAGGCTCTCATACGTCGATCCGGCTCGAGGAGTGCCGCACCCAGACCCCCGACGTCATGATCATTAAGTCGAACCCCCCAAGGTCTCGACCCATTCCCCGGGACCGGATTTTCATCCTGAGTCGTTTTTCGACGGTCCCGAGGCCTGGGAAGGGACCCAAGAGGCCGAAAATCATGAAAAACCTCCTGTCGTTATTTTTGTCAATCTTGCTCGAAGGGGTCTGGGCAGAAAGATGGGGTGGATCTGGTCGTGATTCTCCTCGATGTTGCAATTTCTCTGCGACGTCGGGTCTCAAGGTCCGGGGAGCTCCCAACAGGCGGGAGGGGATTGGTTGCATCTGCGCTTCGCGGGCAGGCGCTCAGGGCGTCACTGCCCTCACGCCGATAGCAGCCATCTCCAGATTTTTCTGGCGGCGATCTGTCCACCCGCGGTTGTTTTGTCTGTGATGTCCGCTTGTGGGGGCCCAGACCCCCTCGAGCAATGAAAACATCACGGCGGAGGGTTTTTCTACATTTGCGGCCCCCAGGGGCCCTTATACTGGGCCTCGGGACCGTCAAAAAACGACTCGGGATGAAAAAACAGTCCCAGGGAATAGGTCGAAACCTCTGGGGGTCGACGTTATGAGAAAATCATGACCTCGGGGGTCGTCGTCGTCGTCGTCGGAGGAGGAGGAGGAGGACGAGGAGGAGGAGGAGGAGGAGGAGGAGGAGGAGGAGGAGGAGGAGGAGGAGGAGGGAGGAGGAGGAGGAGGAGGAGGAGGAAGGAGGAGGAGGAGGGAGGAGGAGGAGGAGGAGGAGGAGGAAGGAGGAGGCTGGGGGGCCTGCGACCCGGCCCCAGGACCATCAGACGTATATTCCCCGGACGGAAAAAACGAGGTCCAGGGAAAAGGGCCGGCGACTCTCTGGAGCCACGCGCTGAAAAACCACCCAAACCACCCCGAGTAATAAAAAAATATGATGGGAGGTTTTTCGCCATTTTCGGCCCCTGGGGGCCCTTACCAGGCCTGGGGGCCGTCAAGAAGCGACTCGGGATGAAAAACTGGTCCCCGGGGAAGAGGTCGAGACCTCGGGGGGTCGACGTAATGAAAAGATCATGACGTCGGAGGTCTGGGCACGGCGTACGAACAAATCATGACGTCGGGGGTCTGGGCACGTCGTCGGATGTCTGGGCCTGCGGTCCGCAGATCTAGACACGCTGTTCGCCTCGGACCGTGGTCATCGCTGGTGCCCTCTGTCCCTGATCGCCCCCAAGAGGGCTCCTGGGCAGAAAGATTGCAAGCGAAAGGGACCCCCCAGGGCAACGGTCGGAGCGTTACCCAGACCCCCGACGTCATGATTCTGTCATTGCATCCCCCCGAGGTCTCGACCTATTCCCTGGGACCAGTTTGTCATCCCGAATCATTGTTTGACGGTCACCCAGGCCCAATGCCCCCCCAGAGGCCGGAAATGGCGAAACACCTCCCGCCATGATTGTTTCATTCCTCGAGGGGGTCTGGGCCAGGAGAACGGTCGGAGCGCCTATGTAGGTCACCAGGTTCTGTGAGCCGGCGGCCGTGGAGGACGCATCGGGCACCGCGCCCAGAGCGCTTGGAAGACGGATGGCATTCCCTCCCCGCGCCTGCCGGAACGAGGGGCCCCGAGCTCCAAGGCCGTGCTTTCATCACGAAGTGTGCGGAAGAAGGCTCGTGGCCACATCCACTGTGGCTTGGAGCTTTGGGCCCCCTTCCCCAGAAGCCCGGGGCGCACTGCATATGGATAAGCGTCTGGCCCCCAGAGGCTAGACTTTGTATCCATACCCAGTGCGCCGCGGCCTCGTGGCGCCCCTTCCAAGAAAGTCCAAGGCGCACTGGATGTGGATATAGATCTTGCCCGCGAAGTGCACCCCTGGACGTCGTGGCCTGTTCCCAGGGGTCGGCTTGTCACCCTCCGGGCGGAAAATCCTGACGGCTCCGAGGCCCGACCAGGGCCCCATGGAGGCCGAACACGGCCAGACGCCTGCCGCCGACACTCCTTCGCGCCGCGAGGAGGCCCAGGGAAGGCGGCGCGGCGGTGCCGGAACGAGGCTCGGGCGCACGCTGACGTGGACCTTAAGGGCTTCGTGGATCTGGCGCGAGGCCGCCAGGTGCACGGGTCGGCCCCGGCGAGGAGGCTTCGAACGCATCAGGGGCGGCGGCGGGCGGAGTCAGAGCGAGGCGTCGCTGGGTCTCGCCCTCAACCAGGTGCGACGACATCCCCAGACTCTCCAGGTATAGTGGGCTCCATATCTGTTGTCGGCCACGGGGGAGGCCTCGGAGCCCGGAAGGGCCCCCCTCCCCCGAGGCGCCAGGCCCGTGCCGCCCCAGTTTTGAGCGGCGGATAGCGCCGAGCTTGCGCTTGAGAGCGGGACTCGTCGCGACCCCGCGCGCCGGAAGCCATGCCCCGAGCCTCCCGCGCCGCATTCGGGGGCGCGCATGAGCATGGACATGGATCAGCGATCCGTGGAATTGGCGCGCGGTCGCCAAGTCCATGGATCGGAGGAGACGCCCTCCCCCAAGTGCGGCCGGTGCCGCCTCGCTCGGCGGCGGAAATCCGCGATTGACCACGGAAACGGGAGCCGTCGCCTATCCACGCCCACTTGATCAATGTTTGCGATCGACTGACTCATACAGGTCTCGGAAAAAATTAGCGAACACTCATGCCACATTCATCTGTGAACGCCTCCCCCTTCCCCCAATGTTCAAACTTGGCGGTGGGTCTGATGAGTTGCACCTCGACCGCAGTCTCTCCCCCGCGTGCCAACTTTGAGTTTTGGGGGCAGGGGGGGTGTTCACAAATTGTTTCCCTCTACCGTATTTTGTGTTCGTGGCACGGGCCCCCGCCCTCTCGACCACTCCCCCGTTTGCCGGTGTCTCGTCCCGAGCCGCGTGTCTGTTGACGGCCCCAGGGGCCGGGTGAGGGCCGCGAGAGGCCGAACACTGTGGCAGTTCTCTGCCTCGATTGCTCCAAGACGCCAGATGACTGGGGCGCGCGCGCTGCTTCGAAGAGCACAACCCCCTCGCGCGCGTCTGCTTCGCAGACCCCCGACGACATGATTTTTTCATGACGTCGACCCCTGGAGGTCTCGACCTAGTCCCCGGGACCGGCTTCTCATCCCGCGTCGTGCTTGGACGGTCCCGAGGCCCGGGAAGGGCTCCCGGAGGCCGAAAATGGCGAAAAAACGCCCGTCGTGTTTTTCCCAACCATCCTGTGGTGTTGGGCCCTCGTTTTGAAGAGACAGCGCCTCGCGTCCCTCTACCTCCTCCTCTCCTCCTCCTCCTCCCCCTCCTCCTTCTCCTCGCGTTTCGCCCACCCAGTACAGCGCTTCGTGGCCCCATGGGGAGTTCCATCGAAGGCTCCAGTGGGACCGCCCGCCTGCGTGATCCATCACCCAACACAACATTTCGTGGCCCCATAGGAAGCTCCACCGAAGGCTCCAGTGGGACCGCCCGCATGCGTCATCCACCACCCAACATAAAGTTTCATAGGCCTATAGGGAGCTCCAACGAAGGCCCCAGTGGAACCGCCCGCATGCATCACCCACCACCCAGCACAGCGCTTCGTGGCCCCATAAACGGGGTTCCACCGAAGGCCCCAGTGGGACCGCCCGCATGCGTCATCCACCACACAGCACAGCATTTCGTGGCTCCATGGGGAGCTCCACCGCAAAGGCTCCAGTGGGACCGCCCGCATGCGTCATCCACAACCCAACATAAAGTTTCATAGGCTTATAGGGAGCTCCAACGAAGGCCCCAGTGGAACCGCCCGCATGCATCACCTACCACCCAGCACAGCGCTTCGTGGCCCCATAAACGGGGCTCCACCGAAGGCCCCAGTGGGACCGCCCGCATGCGTCATCCACCACACAGCACAGCATTTCGTGGCTCCATGGGGAGCTCCACCGCAAAGGCTCCAGTGGGACCGCCCGCATGCATCACCCACCACCCAGCACTGCGCTTCGTGGCCCCATAAACGGGGCTCCACCGAAGGCCCCAGTGGGACCGCCCGCATGCGTCATCCAACACCCAACATAAAGTTTCATAGGCCTAAAGGGAGCTCCAACGAAGGCCCCAGTGGAACCGCCCACATGCATCACCCACCACCCAGCACTGCGCTTCGTGGCCCCATAAAAGGGGCTCCACCGAAAGCCCAGTGGGACCGCCCGCATGCGTCATCCACCACACAGCACAGCATTTCGTGGCTCCATCTGGAGCTCCACCGCAAAGGCTCCAGTGGGACCGCCCGCATGCATCACCCACCACCCAACACAGCGCTTCGTGGCCCCATAAAGGGGGTTCCACCGAAGGCCCCTGTGGGACCGCCCGCATGCGTCACCCACCACACAGTACAGCGTCTCATGGCCCTATAAGGGGGCTCCACCGAAGGCCCCCGTGGGACCGCCCGCATGCGTCATCCACCACACAGCACAGCACTTCGTGGCCCCATAAAGGGGCCCAAGCGAAGGTCCCAGTGAAACCGCCCGCATGCGTCATCCACCACCCAGTGCAGCGCTTCGTGACTCCATAGGGAGCTGCACCGAAGGCCCCAGTGGGACCGCCCGCATGCGTCACCCACAACCCAATAGAA